TCATGTAACTACTGTATGTTGCAATTAGGTTGAAAAGAGAAAAATTAACTTGTGTTTTGGGTTGATTAAGACTCTAATAGTACTTATTACCTTACATTAGGAATGTGGACTCTTTGAGTCAGATATAGAATAATGATAGCCCTTCATCTCATGGCATTTGTAAGAAATACATAAAGATGAAGGGTTATCAATTCCGTTTATATTTGAATAACACAACATCATGTAGGATTATAAAAAAGCACATCTTTAAAGACATCTTTAAATAAAGTAAATTGAGCCTTCATTCCACTGGTAGGCTAAGCATGGGGATTTTAACCAGGCAGTCAGCTGTTTCTTTGAAATTAACCATCAAAGCAGACTCCTTGTTTGTAAAAGGAAGTTAGATACTGTCAAACCTTGGGCAGGTTATTAACCAATTACCAATTATAATTTGTTCTCTCCCGAAGAGAGGTTAAGGAGCAGGATCACAGGCTCCCTGGGTGCCACTGGCTGACTGCCACCATGTCATCCATCCTCGGACCTAATCGAGTTATCATATCTACAAATCTCTCATCAGGGGCCCACGCTGACACTCTCCAAGAAAGAGGGGAATTGGAGGACAAATTTCTAGCAGCAGGAAGTTGGAGCTTTCCTGCGAGGCGGGTTAAAAAGTACCTGTAACCTCGAGTGAACCTCTCCTCACCCTCACGCTGAGAGTTCAGGCACTCTGGGCACCATGCTGCTCTCTGGCACAATTCAGCCTGGGGAGAGGAGCTGGGCCACAATGAAAGAGAGGGGCTCATTATTTACAATGCCCCAGACAATAGGCAAAGAGCACAATGCTCCAGCACGGATCACGCAGCATCTGGAAAATCAAATAGCTGCTGTGTGAAATAATGAAGAGACAGATCTCCAGGACAGAAGGGAAGAGGTTAAAGCACTTGAAGGGTTAAATTCCAGAGGTCTGCAGTTTAGGAAGCTGTCGCAATTATTTTCACCTCTTCAACATTTCAGGCAGACACTGTACAAACAGTTCTGCTCACAGTCCCTTCATATAAATCAGTATCTATACAGGCATTGAGATCAATGACTGATATCTGCA